ATCCAGCTGGTCCTGGGCTTTTCTTTATTGGGAGCCTTCTGATAACAGCTTCAATCTCTCTCTTTTTTTTTTTAAAGCTAAGGGGATCTTAACCCTTAGCTCGGTGTTGTCAGCACCACGCTCAGCCAGTGAGCGAACCGGCCATCCCTATATGGGATCCGAACCCGTGGCCTTGGTGTTATCAGCACCGCACTCTCCCGAGTGAGCCACGGGCCAGCCCGAGTTATTTGTTTATAGGTAGTGAAACCTTGGATATAGAAACTTTAATGTCCATCTGAATCATCTGGGGATCCTGTTAAGATGCATATTCCGCTTCTGTAGGCCTGGGGTGGAGACTGAGGTCTTGCATTTCTCAGAAGTGCCCAGGCTGTTGCGGACCATGCAGTAGAAGCAAGGATGTGCACAAGATTGTGTAGAGTGATCATACAGGGTGAGAAGAGGTCAAGGAGAGAACCTTGAGTCATACCAAGTTGGTAGATATTTCAGAAAGAATATTGGGGTAAAGAAAAGATCAAGTACAGAATGCTGGAAACACCAATATCTTAGAGGAGGGTAGTAGAAAGGTGGGATGGGGAAATCTCTCTGCCCCCCGTCCTATACACAGGGTTGCTTGCTTCAGTTCTGTTCATGATATTCAATGAAGACATAGAACCTAATAGGAAACTCTGATCTGCCATCTCCTTTATTGTCCTCTTATTCTCTATTTACAGACAAAGAAATAGAATTGTAAGAATGAAATAGACTTTGGCATAGTTTCCTGTTATCACAAACTTAGTTCCTGTTTTTTATCAGCTTTACTTTTTTATTTATATTCAAATACTTAGGAAATTCATTACCCTTTCTTTAAAAAAGATATTAATTGCGGGCCGGCCCGTGGCTCACTCGGGAGAGTGCGGTGCTGATAACACCAAGGCCGCAGGTTCGGATCCCATATAGGGATGGCCGGTTCGCTCACTGGCTGAGGATGGGGCTGACAACACCAAGTCAGGGGTTAAGATCCCCTTACTGGTCATCTTTAAAAAAAAAAAAAAATTAATTGCAAATAAATCAAGACCTATTCTAATTAAATTTTTACTACACTGTTTTTTTGTTTTTTTTTTAATGACCGGTAACGGGATCACAACCTCGGTGTTGCGCCCATACCGGGGACCGGCAACGGGACCGGTCTCCACCGAGCGCTGCCGTGCTCACAAGCGGCGCACTCTCCAGTGCGCCACCGGGCCGGCCCTGTACTACGCTGTTTTAAGTTAAACTTGTATTATCAAAGGAGGAAATCTGGGAGGCTATATTAGTTTCTTATGGCTACCATAACAAATTACCACAAACTGGGTGGCTTAACGGAAATTTACTCACTCCCAGTTCTGGTGGCCAGAAATCTGAAATCAAGGTGTTGGTGGGGCTGTGCTTCCTCTGAAATCCTTGCCTCTTGCAGCTTTGTTGGAGCCAGGAGTTCCTTGGCTTGTGGCAACATAACTCCAGTCTCTGTCGCTGTGTTCACATGGCCTTCTCTGTGTGTCTGTTTCTCCTCTTTTGTCTTTTATAAGGACACTGGACATTGGACATAGGCCGACCCTAAATCCAGGATGATCTCATCCTGAGATCATTAATTACATCTGCAAAGACCCTTTTTCTGAATACGGTCACATTCACAAGTGCTGGGGGTTAGGACTTGGACGTATCTTTCTTCTGTCCTTTATTTTCAGGCCACTACAGAGGTAGGCACTGTTTGATTGTGAGCAGTATGAAAAAAATTTGAGGTACATTTATGTGTGGATTTTTGCAAAATCATTTCTGAAATTTTTAGTGTAAATTGTATGTGATTTTTTTATTAGAAAATATGCAAAAGCTGAAACTCTTATGACAGTCACTAATCCTGTACATGATATTGCATTTGCTCTGAACTTGGGAAGATCTTTCCATATTCTAGCAGTAGCAACCATAGATGTGAGAATTTTTACATTAAAGCCTATGAGGTGAGCTTTAAAAACAATTCTGAATTTGAAAATACTCTTGCTTTCTCATTATCTTTATGGGTGGGGGAGAGAGTGGAGGTAAAAAAGATCTGAAGAATGAAATCTTTAATGAACATTTTACGTATAAATATATGACTTGGGATTGGGAATTGAGTAAAGAGAGGAGGTTTATATTCTCTTAACTGTGTTTACTTAGGTTAATACTAACAACTAATTAAGTGGTACTCTGTGGATGTTTAAACAAATAAATGGCAGTCTACTTAGGGAAAACTAAATTAGCATTGAGATGTTCCTGTAAATAACCTGTTTAGCTTTAATTTTGAATTGTGGTTTTCAGTTTTCTTTCCGTTTTTCCTCCTTGCGTCCTTCCATTCTTCTTTCCTGCCATCCTTCCTTTTTAAATTAATTATCATCTATTTTATTCCTCATCATTGTTTGTGGGAATAAAATCCTCTTTTGTTGTTTCTTTCTTCCTTGAAACAGTCACTGAATATCACTTATGTGCTGGGATCACTCCCGGTCCTGGGGAGTCAAATGAAAATGACGTGGCCCAGCTCCAGGGCCAAGGGGTGGGGGGGGGGATTATTATAAAATAATGTGGTAAGTACACGAGGCCATTTGTATTTTTTATTTAGAACAGCATGTATATATATATATATATAATTTTTCCTCAGAATTCCTCAGAAAATTATTTTTATTAAGTTTCTGGTGGGCCAACGAAATATGAAATCCATATAGTGGCTCAGTTTGATAATCCTAACTCTCAGGTCTGGCGAGTGAGTGTACCGTACATCCGCCTTGGCCTTGGAATGTGGCAGCAACAGTGCTGGCGTCGTCAGGAGGTGACGGCTGTGTGAGACTGGAGAGGTAAGGGTTCAGTGAAGAGAGAATTGTTGCTTTATATTTCTACTTTAGAAATTTCACTGAAGAGTGTAAACTGAAATATTCTGAAAAAAAATGGTCTTTACAGCTACTTTTAAATTAATATCCTCATTTATGTTATTTTGAATATCAGTTTACCTAGTTCATAGCAGTTAATGACTAATTTAATTATTTTTTAAGTTCTGTGTGGAACAAAGCAACTTTTAAAACTAAGGTAATTATAACAGAATATGCAGTGTCTGTAATAAAAAGATACCATTAACCGTATATGTAACTTGGAGGTAGTTATAACAGAATATGCAGTGTCTGTAATAAAAAGATACCATTAACCGTATATGTAACTTGAGTGACTGCTCTACAAACTCAGGATCGGACTACAGATATCTCTTGTTTTATTAAAGAATTGCTTTAGATAACCAGTCCTGAACAGGAGAAAATCCAATTTCTCCCCACTTCCTCTCTCCAATTCCCCGAAATTCAAGAACCGTGGGGCCCTGATTCTGAAAGTTTCTTACAAGTGCTAGGCTGAGAGAGAACTCGATCTGGTCAGTTGATACTGATTGTGGTCCCTGTAGCTTGGTTCTGCACTTTTCCATGAATGTTTACGCATTGGGCAGAGGTGTCCATGATTTGTGTATCACCGCAGTAGGTGGCGTCTCATACTGAGCATCCAAAATTATAGCTGTCTTAGTTCATTTACCCTGAGCAGTTATTGTTTTCCAAAGTGCAGTTTGGCTAAGCTGGAGGGACTCCCAAATACATATTAGGCTGTGGTAGAACCAGCCCAGACCTTCCTTTCCTCAGTGTAATTTGATTTTAAGAGCTTTGTTGTTCTTTTCTAACTCTGGGCCTTAGGACCACCAAGCAGCATCCCAACAGGCTCCCTAACTTGGGTTTCCTGGGCTTATTGTCTCCAGTGACCAAATTTGCATTCAAAGAATTAGGGCCATTTTGAATAAACCACTCAAAGTCCAAATGTTTAGTTACCTACATTCATTTCTTTCTTTCTTTTTTTTTTTAAAAAGATGACCGGTAAGGGGATCTCAACCCTTGGCTTGGTGTTGTCAGCACCACGCTCAGCCAGTGAGCAAACCGGCCATCCCTATATAGGATCCGAACCCGTGGCCTTGGTGTTATCAGCACCGCACTCTACCGAGTGAGCCACGGGCCGGCCTTACCTACATTCATTTCTGAAGACATTGTTAGGCACCCAGATAACTTATGCTTGCATTACCCAGAAGACAACTCCACTACCTTACACATATATGTAAGGACATTCATTATTATGAAGACAAAGATTTTATTTTGATATTAACTTCATAATGTGATAACGTGGTAGCTTAGAGAATGGTCTCTGCTAATAATTTATCTTGTAAGGAAGGGAAGTGGGTGATAAAAGCTTTATGTTTTTTAAATTAGTAATTCTTTGAAACTTAAAAAATTGTTAAAACTGAGATAATACATACAGGTTGAGCATCCCTAATCACTTAAAAAAATTGTTAATACATATGGGTTGAGCATCCCTAATCTGAAAATCTGAAATCCAAAAGCTCCAAAATCCGAAACTTTGAGCACTGACAAGATGCTACAAATAGAAAATTCCACATGTGACCCCATGTGACAGGTCGCAGTCAAAACGCAGGTGCATAACACATGGTTTATTCAGCCTACCCTTGTTTGTTGTTTAACAGCTGACACAGGTGTTCTGGTGATGCTACTGTGCTGCTTAGTTACCCCGAACACATTTTTTTTTCACTGTGTTAATGGTATGTCATATTTTTTATTGTTAAATACTTATGTGTGAATAAGTGTAAGAAAATTATTGCTTATGGGTAGCACATAAATTTAGAATCAGGAATTACGGGGATGCCAGACAACCGGACTGTCCACATGGGTGGCTGAGATAGTGACACCTCTGCTTTCTAATGGTTCAGTGTACACAAACTTTGTTTCATGCACAAAATTATTTTAAAATATTGTGTAAAGTTACCTCAGGCTATGTATATATGGAATATATGAAACATAAGTGAATTTCATGTTTAGACTTGGGTCCCATCCCCAAAATATCTCATGATGTGTATGCAAATATGCCAAACTTCTAAAAAAAAATCAAAATTTAAAACATTTTTGGTTCCAAGCATTTTGGATAAGGGATACTTAATCTGTATTTCATCTTAAAAAGGTCTTTAATGTTTATCCTGAAAGAAATGTAGCCCATAGCTTCTCTCTCATTTCTTTAATTGTATTTTAAGGACACAGGTACAGATTTGTGCCCTTGCGCATAGGTATTAATCACGTTAATGTATTTGACCATTTTCTTTTCAGCTAATTATATGGACAATTGGAAGTGCACTGGTATTCTGAAAGGTAATGGTAGCCCAGTCAATGGGAGTTCTCAGCAGGGAAACTCAAATCTGTCCCTAGGTTCAAATATTCCAAATCTTCAAAATTCATTAAATGGATCTTCTTCTGGCAGGTAGGCTGTTTTGTGGGAAAACTAGAAATTGTCTTCTTTTTAAATCATTCTGGTAGCAATACTGATGGCGGTTTATTTCGTGAATTATAAGATAGAATGAAGAAATTCACATGTAATTATGACACTAGAATTTAAAAATTCACTTCATTAGCTCTGTATTTGGCTTACTTGGTCCTAATATTTACAGGTAGGTTGTGAGGTCATTAAGCTAAATTATATTCTGAGGTTTAGTGGTCTATTAGTAGAAATGTTTATAGCTTTGTTTAAGATTTTACTTTGCTTCTGCAGTGATGAGAGGAAGAAGAAATATGGCTTAATTGTGAGGGTTTTAGTCCTAGGTGAGCATTAGGTTTTTTTTAGTGCTTATAGTGTGGCCTTTGCATCAGGTCAAACTGAAATTTTAAATAAAATACATTAATTAAGGTTTTGTAGAAGAGAGTGAGTTAAATGATTTGGCTTTTCTGTTTAAAACTTTAATGGAGATTATAAGAGGAGATGACATCTCTTGATTTTCAGAATATTTAGCGTAAGTTAGATTCTTGTTTATCATAATAAAGAATATTTGGTATGATTGAAAGAGTCATCCTTTTGTTTTCATACCCAAATTTCAAATATGTGGATTTGTAAGAAAAAATTATTTTAATATGCTTTTGTGAATAATTTGGAAAATAATTCAGGAAGCTTCAAAACACAGCCTTAAACTGTTCTGTGGTTGTCCTGTTGTCATCCTAAATAAAAGAAAATTGTATTTAAAATTTCTTCAACTATCTTTATATTGTTATATTTTTATAAAGAAGTCCAACTATTTGATTTTGAGGTTTTAAGTATTTGCAACAAAACAATTTCAGGTTACATCAGATTATAAAGATGATTTCCTGAAGCAGAGAATACTAGAATTAACTTTTTTAAAAAATCTGATTTTTGGTTATTGCCTGTACTTCATATTTTCTTTTGTAAATAGCTTTGACGTTTTTATCTGTATTCTTATTGTGCCAATAACCATCTGTGTTAGATCTGTGATGCATTTTCCCTTCTCCATTTGTATTATGTCCTTTAACAGAAAGCACAGCTGAGTACAAGCTAACTGGAGTAACTTTGCTGTTTTGCTGCTTGTTGCATGCACACAGCAATGGAAAGCAAGCTCCTTTTCCCCTTCCCCAGCGCCGTTTGACCTCTCCCAAGATACACGAGCAGCCTGCTTACTACTAAACACAGTCCAAAAGGCCTTTAAAAACACAGTGTATATCAATTTTTGTACTAGTCAGTTTATTGACACTATTTGAAACTTTTGAAAAATAAATGGAGAGGCTTTTTGTTGAGACATTGTCACCAAAACAATTTTTTTTGAAATGTTCCTGAAACTAACTTGGGTTTAAAAATTAAAAGGGTTGTTACCATCCTTATATAAGTAGTTGGGAGAAGGGAAAATAACACTTTATTCCATTTGGAGAATATATTTCTTTTGTTTTTTAAGACAGCTAAAATGATGAATTTTTATAATTTTAATTTGAAGATTGAAGAAATATTTTTCATAAAGGTTGTTTTGAGAGCCAGCCCCATGGCTCACTCGGGAGAGTGCAGCGCTGGTAGCGCCGAGGCCGCAGGTTCAGATCCTATAGGAAAGGCCAGTGCGCTCCCTGGCTGAGTGTGGTGTGGACCACACCGTGCCGAGGGTTGCAATCCCCTTACTGGTCAGAAAAAAAAAAAATTGCTTTGAGTGCTGATTTGTCTACCTTTTGTAGAATTGCTTTATACATGATATTATTCAGTACAAGTCTGTCATTTGTTTGTAATATTTTAGAAATATTAGTAAAGGAGTAAATTAATAAAGCGGTAGTAGTAAAATGAAAGTAATTTGACTGTACAGTTTGTAGCCAAGTTAAGCATATGGTATTGTTTAAACATTTATAATTTGTTAGTAAAATGGAAACACCTTTATAAGTTTTCAATTCATATTCACTAAGGAGAAAATATTCTAAAACGCAGTTGTATATTTTTAATGGTGTGATTCCATGGCTTAAAGTTTCCTTCAAATCAAAATGGAAACTGTAAGAAATGTAGGGATACCGTAGGCACTCAAGTGGGGGGCACTCCCTAGCAATA